CGGTCAAAGCATTGTCTGTGCAGTTTTATTGTAGTTGAGTGTGTTTGCATTCTTCGTTGCAGATGTTTTTTTTTTTAGTTCAAATGGTGCGTTTGCGCACGCATTGATGATAACGAAGTCGTTGCTCGTGTATTGTGTGCCGTTGATTGAGTCTAATTTTTCGTTTAATGATGTAGTTAATGGCGAGATATAGTAAATTTTTACTTAGCCCTAGAGCTAAATTTTATCGTTTACGCACTGTTGGTTCTGTATAATTTAGTGAGCAATCATTCAGCGTCTATAAGAACGGACTTTTATTAGCGGATTACTACATTAAACTTCCATGTGGACGTTGAAACTCGACTCCAGTCTTCTGGGACAGTTTGTAATTGGTGTGATCGCACAGGATCATGAACCACACCTGTGATAGGAGAATTAGCGCGTCTTCATCGAAGTTTGTTTTGGACTCATTGAAGTTGTTGCCATTCAGTTACACCTATTTTTGGAATCTACTACACTAAACTGACTGATGACAACTACACTAGGAGCCCATTCTACTTGACAATGACGAGTGTAAGCGCACCTAACAAGAACATGAGGAGCCATATGGATTTCATAAAATATGTAATGAAGCTACTTGGCCAAGCCAAAGATGGGAGTTGAGAAGGGCAAGATCAGGAAGCTGCACTGGCAATCAAACTCATCATCCTCCGATTTCTTTACACTTTTGAACACTTTTGTACAACATGGGGCCACAAATCATCTGTTGTTCACAAGCCCAATTTGGCACTGCAGCAACGTTTCATAGTTAACTCTGTCCAACAAAACATACGCTTAAAAGCATGGCGACAACCATTCTGAAGTAATGAAAGGAGAACTAGCAGACTACTTTCGCTTAGCGCAGTTTACAGTATCAGAGCTCAAATGTGCTAACGAAGTTACTCTGTATGCATAAAGGCATTTCAAGAGAATCAAGTAATACAACTGCAACTTTTGCGCCTCAGTGCCATAATTGAAAGTCAAAATATCAAATAAATCTAATTATAGAAGAGAAACGCCTTATTAAAAGTCATAGTTTTCGGTAGTTTTCCTAGCTGTGGGGATTCTAAGCGCAGCCTTGAGTTGTTTCGCCTTGTTGCGTATGAGCGAGAGGTTTGTTTCGGAAGTAGGATCCTTGACGAACTCCTGACATGAACGTGAAAGTGGTCCGGGAGGGTTGGTAAGGAGATGTAAGAGTTGCTGAGCGATGCAGATGGGATGGTGTTTGTTCACCTCTTCAACTGAAGGAGATACAGGCCTCAACGTAGAGGACGCGACAACTTCATCAGCCAGACCCTTGTAGGAGAAAAGTTCCGCGCCCAGTTGAGCACCACATTGGAGACCATGAATCCAAGCCGAATGCAGTTCATCGCTGCGATCAGCAAGTTCTGAAGACGGTGTCGCCTGTGAACTGAGTTGGAAGGCCTCACTATAGGCTTTCGAATACTGCTTCTGCTCCTCCATCAATATCTCGTCTAAAAAGTCGGTCCCTTCAGAACGCATTATAAACCTGCAATTATAAAGAGATGGGTCTTAACCAAAATGAGATCTCCAATATGGAGACCTCGTCTGCTTGACCCACATGATTTCCATCGAGCCACCCGTACAGCGACGGCTGCTGACCTCAAAGCGCAAGTGGTGCAACGTTCATAGATGAATCGTAGTGTCAGAAGGGAGATCAGTCATCTCAATTGAGTTGCACTTAAATGCCTCAGTAAATTGTGGATTTTCGTTATGACAATAGATCCTACATATGTGCATCAAACTAGCGTGTTAGGCACTTAAAACTATGAAGCATAAAAATCGGTGCTAAATAGTTTTCGTGTTACAATGAACGGCTGGGTCCGAAAATGACAAAGACAGGGAAAAATGCTTAGACAGTCGCATTTGCGTAACTCTATGTCCCTCATGATGGGCCATAAAGGGATGATGAATTCTTCGTAATTAAGAAAACGATCACAGCTCAGAATTAGTGCAAATAAAAAGATTGAAGGGATGGCTAAAACACTCCGGACCTTGTCAGTGGACGCAACTCCGGAAGCTCCGCTAGCGCAAACCCACCCCGACACATAGCCAAAGGTGGTTTTTGGTTGACGCTAACGCACATCATTTGCAGCTCTCCAATTCCATAAACTTGCAAAACAGCATAATCAGGCGGTCAAAACACCTTTATTTAATTACTGTAAATGTTTGCATTGCTATGCCGCTTTAAACCGTAGGCTGTATCAGTAGAATGTGCAACAGAAATGCGCGAAACAAAGCACACTCTAGTGATGAAAAACAATGGCAAATTTTGGCGACAAAAGTATGTCACACACCCCTGCTATGCAAGTACTACATTTGAGCAGAACAGAGGTCAGAATAATAACGTTTGAAGTATTGATTAAGGAGAAATGAGGAGGCAACAACCAAGTGGCGTAAAACGGTCTCACAGAAGGCAGGTATATCGGGAATACCATGAGATCGAAAACACGAAAAAACAGTAGCGAATGAGCAACGAAAAGCATCAGATAAGCGGTTGCTTTACTCGGAAGAGAAAGGGCAAGATATCGACAGCCATCGAATTGAGGACGCTCAAATGGAAGACCAAAAGACTGACTTTAAATAGGCGACACTCCAAAGGGAACCGTGCAGAGCCGCATCCCTTTCGGTGGTAAGGGCTTCAAAGAAAGCTGATACCAATGATAGGCGAGACCAGTGATCCATAAAATCCCTACCGCTAGAACAATCAAGCCTAAAATTTCCCCAAGTTCCACATTTTTGCCCAATTATCACGAAATTATTAATTTGAATGAAAAATAATGTACTTAAAGACACACCAGAATGAGCACCAACTTTGGGTTACAGGATTTTAACTTTACCCACGCTCTCAAGCTTGAAGCTCCGACAAATAACTTTGATGAAAGGAACGTCAGGCGTGCAACTCAAGACGAAGCCCCGGTGACAGTGATCAGACCTTTAAAGAACCGCACGACCAAGACCAAGTATAATCTATATCACCGAATACAAACAATGGGTGAAAATAAATGGGAACTTTGCCAATTAGGTAGTGCACATTCTCATACTTCCCACATAACTTTCTCCTGCCAAATAGAATACACGACGACCTGAGGATGCCATACCCTTGTGCTAAAGTAGGTTAACGATAGCTACGAGAACCTCGTGATTCACGAGTCCGTGAAGATACTGACATGACCCCGCATTAACGCAGCAAAACTGAAATAAGGGTCGAAAAGAGTGCTTTCGGTTGAATGACAAAGTCAACCACTAGAGTTTACACCCTGCAAATAGAAAACTACCGATGAAAATGCACTGCCACAAAAGGACATAAGCCTTCAGATAACATGCAGGTTTATAAATTACAATAAATTGACAATGAGAAACAGAGCGTCAGTAAAGGAATACTCGAGGCCCACTCAGCATGCAAAATTCTTCGATCAATCAAAAATTAGACCCACGTTTTCCGTTGTAGAAGAAATGCTGTAAATGATTGCTACTGCTATAGTGAGCCTGACTATATGATTTACGGAGTCCTCAAAGGCATATTTAAGAAGTGCATGCATTGGAATGAATTTGGTATAACTAGCTTGCCAGTATGCTTTCTTGCTGACGTTTCCGTTATAACCGGTCACAAACTGTCGCAGCCGTAAACAGATCCACAAAATGCAGAGTAACCGGAACTGTTTAGTCGAAAAATGGAATGTTCCTCAAGTTAAGCCCAATCAATTAACAGCAAAAGTGGACGACTACAAAACCCTTCTTCGCGCCTAATGTTTATGCAGACACCACTGGAGAGTTATTACTCATAAGGCCATAAAATTGAACAAGACCATAGAGGTTAAAAGAAAGCGTTAAATAATAGTCTTTAAAAGGCAAAAAGGCGAAAACATGAGAAAAATACTTAGTGTCGACGAAGACCTACCATTTCACTTGTAATGCGACAAAAAAATCATAGAGAAATATTGTCCATCAAAAGAGGCTGATAGCATTCAAAGCTTCAAAAACAACATATTGGACCAAAAGCTTCAAAACAAGACACAAAATGACTTTCATCAACACAAAATCGATGCTCATAATTAAAATTTTAACAAAAAATTACACGAATGCAAAAAAATACATCAAAATTTAAATAACGCAGAACGCACACAAACATCCAAACAAAAATTGATAAGAGAAAGCAAAAATTATGCCAAGAAAGTTTAACAAAATTTGTAAAAAAATAGCCCAAAAAAATATTATTATAAAATGCCTTTATTTGGTACAAGGAACGGAAAGAAAAAATAAAAAAGTACACTACAAAAAGGACAATTATACTATAAAGCAAATTTGCTCCAGAACAACAAAAAAATTAATTTATTATACTACTCAAGAAAAAATTCAAAAATGTTGCATTGGTAGAGACAATCTCATGCACAGATGCGGCTCTCAACAACACCCACCAGCACGTCACCGTCTCACA